TTTTTTAAGGTGCTTTAGACTGTTTAATCTGTTTATTAAGCCATTAACCCTAATTAATAGTGATTTTAGATAAAGATATTTAAATTTCCAGAATATTGATATTTATTATTTTGAAAGCAAGTAAAATTCTTTAATATCCAGATCACTAAAACAATGTATTAAAATTATCAAAAGTCTGTGCTTTCAAATGTGCCTGTTCAAACTGTCACTCTATGCTAGGAGGTGCAAGTCATTTGTCTTGCTTGATAGGAAATGAAAGTGACTTCATAATCTGCATTCAACTATAACAGCTGCTCATTAATATAAATCTATTAAATGCTAAGTTTTATCAGTTGGCCTACAATTGGAGGGGGCACCTTTTGGTGAATAGCCAGAAATTGGATGAGGTGAGCCAGAAGTGCAGGGCTGTCAACCTCTGAACAGGGTCAGTGCATGAGGCTTAGCCACAGCTGGAGAACTTAATGAAGACTTTCCCAAAAGGAGGTTGAATAAAATGAGGAGGAGGCTGGTCAGAAACTTTAAAATGGACAGATGATTTATGCACAGAACAGGCAGGATGAACTGGATGGTAGAGAAAGGCAATCCAGAAAAAGTCATCATTGAACAATTATAGTAATTAATAGTTACAATCCGTAACAATTGTGATCAGTAACAGTTACAACCAGTAACAGTTAAAATCAGTAACAATTGTGATCAGTAACAATTATAATCATTAACAATTGTGATCAGTAACAGTTAAAAATCAGTAACAATTATGAACAGTAACAGTTAAGATCAGTAACAATTGTGATCAGTCACAGTTACAATCAGTAACAATTGTGGTCAGTAACAGTTACAATCAGTAACAATTTGATAAATAACATTTACAATCAGTAACAATTGTGGTCAGTAACAGTTATGATCAGTAACAGTTACAATCAGTAAGAATTTGATCGGTAAGTTACAATAAGTAACAATTGTGATCAGTAACAGTTCCAATCAGTAACAATTACGATCAGTAACAGTTACCATCCATGCTTGTTTTCTAATGATAATTGTAATGGACTGTTTGCCCTTTCTACTCAGAATTTCAAAATCTCTTTTGCTTTTCCTACTTTACATCTGGTCATCTTCTCCTGTCCCACCCCCAAGATTTGGGCAGTGGACAAGACAGAAAGTTGCACATTTCCATAAGTGGTCCCTAAATGAAGGATCCTGAAGTGTTGGCATGTAGGATCACAAAAAGACTTAAAATGTTCTCTGATAGGTATTTTAAAAATAAATTTGTTTTCCAATCTTTAGTTTTGGTGTTGTCTTGGTCAGGGTTCTCACTGGCCATGATGAAACACATGACTGAAGCAACTTGGGGAGGAAAAAGCTTATTGGGCTTCCTCTTTCAAATCACTGTTCATCATTGAAGGAAACCAGGACAGGAACTCAGGGCCAGAACCCAGAGACAGGAGCTGACACAGAGGCGTGGATGAGTGCTGCTTACTGACAACCTCCATGTGGCTTACTCAACCTTTCTTTTTTTTTATGCATATGGAGTATTTTTATTTAATTTTATATAACAAAGTCCAATTAAATGAAAACAAACATTTATACACAATATTTGGGAATTTGGGCATCGTTCTTTCCAAACTACTTCCTGCTGGTAAGGGGCGCTGTCTTGGGGGATTCGAAGAAGATTCAGATATCCTAGCTGTAGTCTGTAGGGCTGTTTTGTCCAGCTGTTACTCAACCTTTCTTATAGAAGCTACAGCCACCAGTCCAGAGGTGGCCCCATCCACAACTGGTTGAACCTTTCCACATTGATCACCAATTAAGTGAATGCCCCACAAGCTTGCCTATAGTCCTATCTTATGGAGGCACATTTCTCAATGAAATTGAAGCTCCCTCTCTGATGCTTCTAGCTCATGTCAAGTTGATATACAACTAGCCAGCCAGGAGAGCTGCTTCTTTTATGTTAGATGTTGTAGAACAAGTACTCTGCCACCAGGGTTTCTATAGATGTATGTGCCCTCCTTCCTTTTAGTCAGAAGTGGTGAATAAAAAAGAAGAAGGAGAAGAATAATCATGAAAAGGAAGAAATTATTATGGTTCATAATAAGTAATTTATAACAAAGATATAACTAATCAAAAACAAAATAAAACAAAACAAACAGCCAGAGAGTGGTGTACACCTTTAATCTCAGCACTCGGGAGACAGAGGCAGCTGGATCTACTTGAGCTACACAAAACCTCCCAAAATCCACAAACACCAAAACAGAACAAAACAAAAAGCTAATGTCAGAATTTTGGACTTTGGAAATTCAAAAGTATCGGAAAATATATAGAGAGAGTATTTTGATAATAGAAGAGATTACAGTTAGAATATATGTTTAGGGAAAAGTATTGAATGGCTGCTATAATCTATGATTGCTTGATTAAGCCAGACTTCACTTAAAGCTTTGTAAACTGTAAGGTCACTTAACAGGAAACCCAGATTAAAAGATTAGATAATGCATTCAGTTTTACTCAGAACCAGAGTAAGAATCCAAAATTCACCTTCTTCTGAAAGGCAGTATAAGCATACTAAATTGCTGTGTTGGATTGGTGGTCCACATCCATGGTCCACATACCTTGGAGGCTGAGGCAGGAGGTAGTTTGAGACTAGCAAGACTTCCTCAAAGTCAGATAAAGAATAAACCTCAATAAATTACTAATAAATTGTGGAGTGGATTGCAGGGGGGAAGGTGGGGTAGAATGCTGGAAGTCAAATGGATAGATGATGAATGAATCGTGGTGGGAGAGCAAAGGCAGTTATCACTTTTAAAAGGTTTATACAGAAATGCCAGTTGAGAAAAAAAAAAAACCTGTTTTCATTTTCAGCTTTTGGATATTACACACAGCCTCCCTTACCAGCCACTTTCCAACGTTAGTTTCTTAAGGGATCCTAGTCCAATACACAGATAAACCCTAGCTCAGTGGTTCTCAATGTTCCTGGTACTTCCACCTTTTAGTACGGTTCTCATGTTGTGGTGATTTCGACCATAAAATTATTTTTGTTGCCACTTCATAACTGTCAATTTGCTACTATTTATGGTCGTTTGGACCCCCAAAGGGGTCGCACCCACAGATTGAGAAGAGTTGCTCTAAGGTTTTTATTAGCATACAAGATAGAAGACAGCATGAAAACTCATCTATGTAAGTAGAAGTGAAACTGTCTAGGCCCTAGACTCTAGGGGATCAAGGGTCTATGGAAAAGGGGGGGGGTGGTATAGAAGGGGAGAGCATGTGTTCAAGGTACAATGTATCTTTATGTGAAAATATGTTTTATGGGACACAGTAACACGTACAATGAATATGTACAATAAAAGTAAAAAACGAAACAACAAAACAGCCGAATATCCGATTGTAAGGGAGAACCATAAAAAGGGCAGGAGCTTGATAAAATGACTAGCCCTGGATGCAGGCCAGGATATAATGAGGGACTTGGAGGAAATGCTCCTTTACTTCCAGTTAAAAACTGAACCAAGATTTAAACTAAATTTAGGCTAAATCCTAGAAGAGACTTGTAAACGTCTCGGGTGCTGCAATGGTTGGGGTCTGCTCTAGTCACATCCAAATCATGCTGAGACAGAGGGGTTCCTCCAACGTTTCATGATCTAGATGCAGCATCCCCTTGACCCCATCTGGCGGACAGGTTTGACGGATGGACCAGGAAGGGGCTTGGTCACGGGCGAGACATTCATCTATGTGGGAGGGAAGCAGCACAGTTTGGCACAAGCCCAATCGCTCCACGAAGAAAAACACGAGGCGTACAACCACCTCTATCAACAAACAAAAAGCCAAAGCTCAAGCCTCCTCAACGCTGGCGCGACCGGCCACGCCCTCTGCGCTCATTGGTTGGCGGCCTGTATGTCAAAGGAGCAGCCTATCCTCTATTGGGCCAGAAGATACCTGAGGCGGGGTGCGGAAGGGAGAGCCTGGAGACAGCACATCGCTCGGCCTTAGGGGCGGTGTCTGGGCGGGGCCATGGAATAAGGTGGGGTCATGGGCGGGGACTCAGCGGGTGCGGAAGGGAGAGCCTGGAGACAGCACGTTGCTCTGCCTTAGGGGCGGGGCTTGGGCGGGGCAATGTTGGAACGGGGGCGGGGCAATGACGGGGCGGGGCTAGGGTGGGGCCGGGTACAGAAGGGCAAGCCTGGAGACAGCCCCTAGTTGTGCGTGGGTGTGGGCGGGGCCTGGCCGGGGAATGGGGCGGGGCCGGGGGCGGGGCCCGGGCGGGATTCTGGCGAAGGGGCGGCCCTGGCGGCTGCGCGGCGGCAACGGCGGCTGCGTCGGAGCGCGCGCCCGGCTTTGAATGAGCGGAGCTGGGACTGACCGAGCCGGCGGAGCGCGAGCGCGATCCCGCGCGACCCCGAGCGCGAGCCCGGGCTCGAGGCAGACAGCGGCCGTGTGCACGCGCGCGCCTCGTGGGCGCACGCGCGCGCGGCCCGCGCCAGGCAGCTCGGAGCCTCCGCCGAGCGGGCGGGGAGGGGGAGGGGCAGGTGAGTGTGAGCGGCCCCGCGCGCGCCCGCCCGCCCGCCCGCCCGCCCGCCGGCCGGCCCGCGAGGGGCTTCGCTCAATCCCCTTCGCCTCCCGACCCCGGCTCCCCGGGTCCGGCCTCGGGGCGGGTGGCAGCACTTCCCCGGCACCCTCTTGGGTCGTCCCGCACTTCCTGCCCTCCCGCCTTCCTCTCCGGGCCCTCTCTCCCGAGACCTGCCGCACGCTGGGCCAGCACTGTTTCCGGGTCACGGTGACCTGTGGGGCGAGCCCAGCGTGGCTTGCTTAGGAACCGGCTTGGCTTGGCCGAGTGCTCTCACTATGCCACGCTCACGCATGGGACACCCGCCTGTGAGCCTCCGACCCGGAAAAGCCCGGCGTTCAGCCTCCCCCAAGGGCACTCACTGCGCCTTCTTCCTGCCCTCCCTCCCCGGGCCTCGCACCTCCCGGGGTCCCACGTCCCCCGCATCCCGATCGCAGCCCACCCGGCTCCCACCCCATGTAGTTTAGAGCGCCACCCATGACGCCCGCCGCCGGGCGTGGGATTGCGTAACCGGGAAACTCGCGTGTTGGTTTTGCTCATCTGTGCAGTGGGTATGATACATGTATATTTTTTTTCTCCCCATCAGCAAAAGTCTAGGTGGGTGATTGGAAAGTGAAAATTGGCAGTTAGGAAACGCCCCGTGTAGGCATTCAGAAGGCAACCCACCTAGCTAACAGTCCTAGCGGTGTCACCTGGGAAGAAGGCCTGACGGTACAGATGGTTTGATCTTTTGGCACCAGCTGCTCAGAAACTACTGCCGCTTCTGCATTCGTGCCTCTGCGGTTGACCGTTTGCTTTTCGTGCTTGAGTTCGGGTGGATTTTCACTGGGAACTTTGTAATTTTTAACTTTAGCGAGTTGCGGACTTCATTTGAGTGTGTTCTGGGCGGCTGCAGATGATAGGACTTTGAAGTATTTGTTTGAATTCAGGACTCAAATTGGTGAGGAAGTACAGCAGTAGATGACTCGTTTAGTGGGTGTCAACTGGCTTGCCTTAGTGAATTGTATTGGATCTCACTGAACAGGAGGAGGGCTTGACTTCATCATGCAGGGTTCCTTTTCTTTATGCCTTCCGGCTTGGTTATAGAGAAATCTTTCTCAGTTGACACAACAGAGATCTTATTCCAATTACTTAGTCGAAGATGTCGTTTCTTCAGAGTTTTTCTTCAGGCGTATATAAAGTTTCTGCGTTTGTCATTGTAAGGATTTTGTTTTAATTCGTGTTTTGGTAGTAGGTTATTTCAATACTTCCCGGTTCTAAAAGGCATTTTAAAGCACCCGAATATATATTTCCCTGTTTGATGATCTATAGGGTGTCCTAGAAACCGGATTATATTGATATGTTTAAAATTAAAACCATTTCAGAAGGAATATGTATGGAAATCTAGGCCTTGGAGTTCTCTTCCAAGTAATCCTGATTTAGCCTGTTTTAATAACTCAACCAATTACGGCTCTCGTCCGTTAAATGGGAATGGGGAAACTGTGGAACTATATCCTGAACATGTTAAGGGCCCATGATGTGTGATTTTGAACAACATACATTACCATAATCAAGATACTCATTGTTAGTATTCAGGCATCTGTACTGGCCTCCCTTGGGGTCCTGACAGGATACACCCTCAGCTGCAACCACTAAGAGCACCACCTGTGCCTATTCAATATGCTCCCTTTTAAAAGGACCCTATCCACCTCCCATCCTTCACTCTTTCTCTTCCTCCCTCTATTGCCCCCTCCTTTTCCCTACCCCCCTCTCCTGCTGCTCTTTCTCTGGAGGCCGATCTCCCCCCTTGCCTTTCCCCTTTTTATGATCCCTTTCCCTAATTAAAAACCTCCCTGCTTGAAATTCTGTTGCATGCCTTCTTCCTCTCATTCACCACTTCTCTTAAATTACAGCACCAAGGAATGTTCATTTCTTTTCATTCAGTGCACCTAAACGCTAGCATTGGCTAAGATTTAGAGATAGCAAACTGAGCCTCACTGGTGGGGTCCTGTCTTTCTTGGCTCTTTTCAATAAAGTAAATGTAGAAAGAAACTCAAGATGCAGGGACATGTTTTCTCCTTATCAGTGTAGCATATATTACATAGTGCATGCTAATATATATTCATTCCTTTGAATTGCAGCATTATGTACAAATCAGTGCAATTGGTAAAGTGTTGCTTAATAGCTTGGTTACATTTTCTCCATCTTAGTGAAACTGGTTGGAAATTTTATCCTGGAGCTTATGATATCTCTACTGATTACTAAGGATGTTTATAACTAACTATTCTTGGTTTCAAATTAAATTGATGTAGGTTTGAGTGCAGGTAGTTGTAGGATCTCAGAAACATGTGCTTATTCTGTTTCTATTCTGTAAAACGAGGAAAATAATATCTATTTCACTAGAAGTAAGTTCTGTGGATTCAATTAGATAATGTTTCAATGATAATACTTGGTTCATAATAGATGGCTAGTGAATATTTGGTCTCTTCCATTAATCACAGAACCAGATTGATCCCAGAATCAGGATGTTGTTAATTGCTATGAGGGAAATCTGTCTGTGATCAGAAATAATCTGGTTTTCGGGTTCTTCATTTAAACTTGACCTCTCTCTCTATATATATATATATTATATATATATAATATATATATTAATTTTTTTCATTTGTATTTATTTATTTTATATAACCAAGTCCATTTAAATGAAAACAAACATTTATAGACAGTATTTGGGAATTTGGGCGTCGTTCTTTCCAAACTACTTCCTGCTGGTAAGGGGCGCTGTCATGGGGGATTCAAGGATGCAGAAATTCTGGCTGTAGTCTGTATGGCTGCTTTGTTCAGCTGTTTTGAATGTAGGATCACCTGGTACTCTGTTTCAGGTGGTCTGGCTTGATCAAACCACATTTAAACTTGACATCTTATTTCTTTTTATTGGACTCATTCGAGTTGACAGGTACTGAATAAATAGTGACACTTAAGGATGTTTGAGAAGGTGATGACTGTAGCTACCAAGACTCTGAATGAAGTTGTTCACAGCTGAACACTGAATCCTGTGCATGTTACCAAAATATTAAATGTCTTAAAAAAATCTTGCGGGAGTATCTCCTTGGTTATTATTTCCTTTCCTAGTGTTGTATGCCATAAGCCTTCTAGCTACCTTTTGAACAATGTTTTTTTTTTTTTTCTGAAAATGTATTATAATTTTAAAATTTATCCCAAATTTTTATTCATGTGTATTGGCTGTACAGATACTGGGCTTCATTGTATTTCATTCCCTTATGTAATGTAATTTGCTCACCCTCCCCCCCTTACTGTTCCTTGTTCTTCAGGCCTCCATCTTCTTGCCAAATAGTCCACAACTATTTTCATGTCTTCTTGTATTGGAAACCTAGCTTGTACAAATGAAGGCAAAATACTGTCTTTGTCTTTCTGACTCTAGCTTATTTTACCCAGCACGATGATCTCTGGTTCCATCCATTTCCTGTGCAGGGCATTAATCCTTGGGAAGTTTACTTTTCTCTTTGTCAACAGTTCCTTTTGACCAATCAGCTGAAAATGATTCCTTAGTTCATTTATTTTATTTGTTCAGTTCATTTTCCTTACAGTGAGGCATCAGACATCTCAAGTTTTACTTTCCAAATGGTAACAACATACCAAGTAAATACATTCTCTAAAGAAGTGTTATGTAGGGCAGATGTAATGTGTAGATATTACTTTACTGTGAAGTAGACAGTAGTAAGTTAGTTCCACAGTAGAAAAAAACTGGGATTAAGATGACTATTCCACCATGAAGGTAGGAAACAGTAGACAGCATGGGAAAACTAAATAAGGCTTATAAGCCATTTGCCTTTTCTAAGATTCTTTGAGATAAAGGAGTCAGCTTTTTTGTTGCAGTTTTGAAAGCAACACTTTGGGGTTATTTGTTAAAAATATATGTACTACGAGAAGAAGGAAATTGTTAACGTGCTCTTGGTTCCTTTCCCTTTAGAATTACCGTTCCTTGCACCTGCTCAGTCATGGACCACCTCCAGGCTTGGCCATCAAATAGATCATTCAGTTAAGATAGGCTGTCTTCATACGCATGAAAATACATTAGCATTGCTAAGGGAACCTTGTGGAACTTTTCCTTTGTACCTTTAGTAATCTGCATTCTACTTTTAACCCTAGAAACTGAAAGCTCTAGCTGTGTTTTTCCTCAGAAGGTATTGCCAGGGTCAGGGACCATGACATTTAGTGAGTGTTCCTTCTTGTTTTCTTCCGTCTTTTTCTTTACTGTTTGGTTGAACTTTTTTTCTCTAACATTTATTTGTTTTTTACATTCCAGTCTCAGTATGTTGAACTTTTATATTGAGGTTTAACATGTAAATACTATATATAGCAAAGCAAATAGTATCATTACCACTCAGGTTAAGTAAGATACAGATCTTAGTTTCCTAGTGCATCTACACTTCCCCCTCCCCCTTTATTAAAGGTGAATACTATTTCTTACTATTTAATTTTAGGAAACTTTTATGAATGATGCTTAAGAAGTGGGAAGTGACTATTGTCTGTGATTTGTTCTGATCCCTCGCAACTTGTGGATTACTAAACATGCTAAGTGTAGGCTCGAGTGTCAGTGTTTCTTTGAACAGATTGTAGATTTGCAAACCTGTGGACCAGATGAGCTTTGTCCTTTGTCTAGCTATGCTTAGAACATGTTATTTAACTTTCTTCAGTTCAGTTTCTCTGTTGAGGCGAACCAAAATAAAAGGCATAGAAAGGTTTAATATATACTATTTCATAATTTTTGAGTTTTTTTTAATTGAGTTATACATTTTCCCCCAGTTCCTTTCCCTCCACCTCTCTTCCTTTCTACCCTCCCCCCTGACCCTCACTCCCCCAATTTACTCAGGAGATCTTTTTCCCCTTCGTAGGAGGATCCATGCATGTCTCTCTTTGTTACCTGGGTTCTCTGAGGTTGTGGCCCGTAGGTTGGTTGGTTGTCCTTTGCTTTATGTCTAATATCCACTTATGCATGAGTACATATTATATTTGCCTTTCAGGGTCTGGGTTACCTCACTCAGGATGGCTTTTTCTAGTTCCATCCATTTGTTTGCAAATTTCAAGGTGTCATGGTTTTTTTATTTTTTTTATTTGCTGAGTAAATGTACCAGGTTCTGGCTATTATGAATAATGCTGCTATGAACATAGTTGAACAAATGTCCTTGTGGTGTGAATGTATGTTCTTTGGGTATATACCCAAAGTGGTATTGCTGGGTCTTGAGGCAGGTTGAGCCTCAGTTTTCTGAGAAACTGCCCTACTGATATCCAAATTTGTACTCCTACCAGCAATGGAGGAGTGTTCCCCTTACTCTACTTTCTTTCCAGCATAAGTTGTCATCAGAGATTTTGACCTTGGTCATTCTGAGTTTTTTAATTGTAAATAAATTTGTACTTATTTAAGTGAAACATTTTTCAGAGAATGAAGAATGAAGAGAATTCTTTTTGACAGCCATAGAAATTCCTAGGTCACTTACACTGTATTAGAATTTACTGTTCTATTTGTAGCTCTAAGAGAAAAGTGAAAATGTCAGATTTCTCTTATATGGACTTGTTAGTGTGAATGAAAAAGAGGAGCTTGGCATCAGCAATGTGACTAATACATTGTTTGTGTGTGCCTGTGCCTTTCCCGCAGGTTTTGGTTCTCACCATGGCCATCACTCAGTTTCGGTTATTTAAAGTTTGTACCTGCCTAGCAACAGTGCTCTCCTTCCTGAAGAGACTAATATGCAGGTAAATGATTCCTGTGTTCATACTGATTTACTTGTTTCTTTATTGGTTTGGATTGCTTCCTAACTTTAAAAGGCATGGAATGTTTTATTTAAACATAATATCCATATATCTCTATGTTTTTTAAAAAAACATTTTTTTAGATCTAGAAAGTATCTCAGTTTTTCTTTCAAGTTTGCCATTTAAATTTATTAAATAATTAGTCCTGTAAAATTTTGGAAAGAAGTAGAACAACATTAAACACTTTCATCACCACAGATATTCTGTATTGTTTCATTATTAGAATGATTAAAAGTACCAAGTTAGGCAAAGTTAAGCATAGATGTCTATGTGTATTTCCATATGAATGCTATTTTTATGTTTACTTTTAAAACTTATAACAGAGGGGCTAGAGTGATGACAGTGGTTAAAAGTAATTGCTGCTCTTGCAGAGAACTTGGGTTTGGTTCCTACCATCTACATGGTTGCTCACAACTCTTTAAACTTCAGTTCCAGGGGATCCAGTGCCCTCTTCCAGCTTCTGTGGATACCAGGTGTTGCATAGGCATACATGTGAAATACACAGACACATAAAATAATAATGTATTTCAAAAACTCTAAACAAGGAAACTATAAATAAAAGGTGTGTGTGTGTGTGTGTGTGTGTGTGTGAGAGAGAGAGAGAGAGAGAGAGAGAGAGAGAGAGAGAGAGAGAGAGAGAGAGAGAGAGCGAGCTTCAGATAGGCCAGAATAATTTCTTCACTTCATCTGGCTATCCTTAGATTTCAAATCCTTCTGTCTTACCACATGGCCACACCCTAGCTGTGGCTTCTTAACTTCAGGTGCCTCAGGCCTCATCGGAACAATCAGAAGTGTGTTCTAAGGTTTGACTGTCCAGGAGAGCTGCTGTTGGTCAGTAGCTGTTGAGCACCGGTGGGGATCCAAAATCAGATAGCTCACATTTGCAGCACTAGGGTTCCAGCTCTTTTGGTAACATATCTTTGCCAAGTTAGGTGCTTGGCTTGTAATTAAAAGTAATTATGCCACAAAAATGTAGAGCAGAAAGTAAGGGTGGCAACATTCAGTCTGATTCGAGACAATGTCAAAAGGCATACTTATTTTAGTAGTAAATATATTGTATATTATATTCCAAATAAAAATAGTAATTTTATTTTCTGCCTTTTTTTTTTTTTTTTTTTTTTTTTTTTGAAACAGGGTGTTGCTATGTTTCCCAGGCTGGTGTCTGTGTATCTTAGGCTGCCCTCAAAGTTGCATTCCTCCTTTCTCAGCTTTCTGACTGTAATTAGAGGGTGCAGGGTATAGAGAACATGCTCCAGAGAGATGTGTATTAAGCTTCCAAATGGCTACGAAGAAGTCAGGACATATATGAGGACTAAGTTGTTCAGGTCTAACTCTTAATCATTGGAACTGAAGCCAGACATGGTACATGCCTTTAATTGCAGCATTTGGAATGCAGAGGCAGGCAGACTCTGTGAGACAGCCAGAGCTGCCTAAAGTGACTGACTAAACTGACTGCTGACTCAGTCTCATAAACAACAATAAAACCACCAAAAAAACAAAACAAAACAAAAATAAACAAACAAAAAAAACAGCCATCAGTCAGTTGGTGAAACTGTTAGACTGTTAGGTCTTTTGGCCTAAATATTTCCAGAAAAATGTAGTGGTCCATGTAAAGTACAGTAGAAGAAAAGTGAGTGTAATGGTCATCAGCTCTTTTCACAGGGCAGTTTTGAAGCTACATAGCACTAGGCTAGCCTCTTCGGAAGTTAGCATGTTGATGAAAAGACATGGAGTAGAAACGATCGCTGTAGATGAGAAGTCAAGAAACAAATGGAAGAAATGGGGGTAGATGACTGTTGAAATCTCCCTTGAGAGTAAAAACCTGATGAAAAAGAAAGTGCTCAAGTCAGAGAAGACGACTGATTAGAAATTTACTAGGGAAAGCAAGATGGGGTGAGTACTAATCGCAGACAGAGGTAAAGGCATCGTGGACAATCGTCATGTAGCATGGGTCTCTTCATGCATCTGCAGTTTCCAAACCTCTAGTTACTGTAGGTTAGTGGTAGAGTAGGAAAGTGTATTTGATTTCATATTAAGGACTTGGTTTGTTGTCACTGTGAGTTTCTGTTGTCAGTGTCAGTATGCTTAAGACTGACTGTTCTTTCAGCTGTAAAGAAAGCTCTTTATTAGGATGAACTTGCCTTAGTTGTCTAAACCAACCTGGATTACATGTTGTAAAATTCCATACCTTTGGCATACATTTTGTAATAGGTTGTAATACTTGTGTCTTCATCCTTAAAAAGGTGAATAAAATAAATCTGTGAATTTGTCAAACTCCTTTCGCTCTAAGGAAATGAGTTACAGATTGCTAAATTGTAGAAGTAACTGTTTTAATGTCTTGCTATGTAGCTGATGCTATTCTATCTAGTTGCTTTAAATATGTTTCTTAGTTATATCCTTAAAAAAACTTAAAAATATCGGTGTGGATATCCAGTTTACAGTAGAGGCTATTATAGCTGATAAATTGAGTAATTCTCACTAGATTCAGTAAAGTAGCTTTGAAAATCTTGGTTAATATAGACTCCATAGCTCCAGTTAACAACTGAATTATATTCTGATTAATGTAGTATTTTCCTACTAATTGTTAAAAAATCATTTGGTTTAGGTTGGGTAATTGATTTTTAAACTTTTTAAATAAAAATTATTTATTTTTATGTGCATTGGTGTTTTGTCTGTGTGTATGTCTGTGTGAGGGTGTCACATCTTGGAGTTACAGACAGTTGTTATCTGCCATGTTTGTGCTAGGAATTGAACCCAGGGCCTCTGGGAGAACAGTTAGTACTTTTAGCCACTGAGCCATCTCTGGCCCCCAATTTTCAAACTTGTAAACAGTTGATTACTTAAATTTACCAAGAAATCTATAAGACATTTGCCCAGCCCTCCCTGGTTAGTAGTGTAGGGCTTTATCTATAGAATTAGGAGCACTGGAGGAGTAAGGGGCTTTCTTTGGGGCTTACATTTGTCTTTGGCTTCTAATCCATCCCAAACCTTATAATTTTGTCCATAATTCTGCACTTGAAAAGCAGCTGCATTGCCCAAGATTTTGGATACATGATAAGATTGCTGAGTCATGCTTTTTCATCATAGCTTTGTGAGCAGTTATTATTTAAAACAATAATTATAAAATTGGAAAGTCCCACCTTCTAAGTAAATTACTATCTAAAATGCTTTTTACTGATGCTCCTTTGGGTGCTTTCTGAAATATATCCTGTTTCCTTCAGGTCTGGCAGAGGAAGGAAATTGAGTGGAGACCAAATAACTTTGCCCACCACAGTGGATTATTCGTCTGTCCCTAAGCAGGTAGTTCGACATGGAGCACACGCTCCCAAACACCGTGTTTCAAAATAGACACATCAAGTAACTGGATGATCAGGACTCTTGTGGATTTGTTATTGTTTGTTAGTCTATAACTTTTACTTGATTCTTTATATTGTATCTCTTTCTTTCTTAACATCTAATTCCCTCCCCCCCACCACCACTGGTTTTAAGCGAATGATATTACTTTTATGGAACACTTAATATTTAAAGATTTCGTATATGTCCTATATTTATATCATCTTGGGCTTGCCATTTTGTAATTATTTTTCCGTGTGAATTAAGATTCATGGATTCCTTATATAATGAAAATTCTGGCTTGTTTCTTGGGCATTGGATGTTACGTTTTGAGACTTTTACTTCCATCTTGTGGAGAATGTTGATCCTTTATTTTTAAAGTCAGGTGATCAGTTTGGCTAGGATTTGAACAAAAGTTTCAGTCTAGCCTCTATGGCAGTATATGTAATGCTATCTCAGTTTTCAAAAGTATTTGTTTGAAAAAGTTTTGGTATGTGGTTTGAACTGTATACATGTCTTGTGGCTCAAAAAAGTTTTAACATCAGTGTCCTGTTTCTCTAATAAAGACTGAGGTGGTCATTAGGTTATTCTTCATGGCTGACAATCCATTCGATTACATTTAGACAGATGTGGAGGAGTGGACTTCCTGGGATGAAGATGCCCCCACAAGTGTAAAGATTGAAGGAGGGAATGGGAATGTGGCAACACAACAAAGTTCTTTGGAACAATTGGAACCTGACTATTTCAAGGATATGACACCAACCATAAGGAAAACTCAGAAAGTATGTTGAAGATTGTGCTTGTGGAGATTAAAATACTTTGTTTCCAGTAGTTAAAACTAGAGAGTACAATTGTATTTATTATAAAGCCTATTTATCATTTTGTTTTCTCTTACATTAAATAGAATTTTTTTATTCACATGATCTAGACATAGCTCTAATAATGTATATTCCCAATTTTATAACATGGCTAAGCATTTGTAGAAATTCTAATGGATCTCAGGTAGTAGGTATTAGTTTCTGCTAAGAGAAACTTAAGCCAAAAGGAAAAAAAAAAAACAGCTTTAACAAGTTCCAAGTATAATGATATCCATAAATAAGTAATTTCACGTTATATAGTATGTACATGTAAATGTTGTGTGTTACCATTTATCCTTCTCTCCCATTTTGAGTTGACAATGAGATCACTTAGAGATACAGAGATATTGGAAAGAGAACAATGACTGCTTTCCTTTTTTTTTTTACCTAAATAGAGTAAATGCTTAAAGATAGTAGAATATTGATGTGCTTTCTTTCTGCGTTTTTACTTTTTAATTTTTTTAGCTGTGTTGTTCAAATATTTCAAATATGAAAAGGAAGGATACTTGCAAGTTTCTCAGTTGATGTATATTTTGCATTGTGAAAATATATTGCTGGGATTTAGTGTATTATATGGTGCCTTGTTACATTAATTTAGATTGATGGTGCTTTTCCTGAAATTAACAATATTTCTAGTAAATATATTCTAATACATTAGCCAGGAAGAGTTAATTTAGGAATGGCTAATCCACACATTAAAAGTGGTGAGTATACTTTTGGTAGAACATATTAGACATGTTATTATTTAATTTAGTAATTTAAAGTACCTAATTAAATTTTAGAGACCCTCATAAAATATGGTGAAGAAAAAGAAAAAAAAAATTTTAAAGTGAGATACAGTTTTTCTTAGTATGAACCTGGTTTATGTCATAATTACATGGAAATTTTGGTATTATTTACACAGTAATTCTTACTGCATTGTTCATTGTAAAGAGCAAACACAATTTAAGCCGTTACCAAATATATTGATCAAGTTTTATATGGTTTTATGTAAAATATCCTTGTAATCCTGTTGTAATTTATCTTTCAGATTGTCATTAAGAAGAGAGAACCATTGAATTTTGGTATCCCTGATGGTAACACAGGTTTTTCCAGTAGATTGGCAGCTACACAAGATATGCCTTTCATTCATCAATCAGTAAGTATGTTTGACTTTTTTCTTCTTCTTCTCCTCCTCCTCCTCCTCCTCCTTCTCCTCCTCCTCCCCCCCTCCTCCTCCTCTTCCTCCTTCTTCTCCTTCTTCTCCTTCTCCTTCTAGGATTTGAACAAATTTAAAAGTTCATTTATAGCTGTATGAACATAATATTTTATAAGATTACAAATTATATTGGACACTTGGTCAGGATACCATTATACACAGAGAAATTGGAGACAAAAGAATGTGATGATATTTACAAGTAGAATTTGTAGGAATTACCCCTAAAATAATTAAGGTAAGTTTTGACTTAGGAATTTTTTTTTATCATAGAGTAAGTTTACATTTAAACTGTGGTGTAATTTAAGATGAATTTGACTTAAGGGAACCTTTATAAAGGAAAAAGTGGTGAACAAAGTAGAAAGTTGGGGTACCCAACACTGAGGAGTATATCAGCATGACCTGGGGGGCTTTTTAAATCCAAAATGAAAATAAAACCCCCACAAGTACCTAGATGTCTTCCCAGGCCTAAGTATGGTTTGAGTAATAGATTACTACAGCTAGCAGTTACAAACTCAGATACAATGAGTACTGTGATCTAAAAATCCAGGGGTGATTAAACTGCATGATCCTATCTTAGAGTTTCTAGTTAGTTTGTAAACACTGCTTTGAGTCTATAGTCAGCTGCAGACAGTGGGTTCACCTTCAAAATTTTCATCAAATCTTTGTTTTTAATCATGTACTCATCTACAGGGCTGTTTGGATTTCCTTGTGCATAAATACTGATTTTCTTCAGCGTTTGAGAAGAAGAGGGGTGATTGATTATAATGAGGAGGCATGTTAAATGATTGTACACACAATTATAAACAATAATAACTCATGATGCTATGAAAATATAACATTGTAGACATTTCTACTTTCATGTCTTTTTCTTTAATGACCCAATAAGTTTTATTAGGTTTGCTTATGAAGAGCATAGCTGAGGGATTATTTACAGTGGCAATTTGTGGGAGCATGAACACCTTACCTGTGGCTATGCCACTGAAGAAAATGTCTGTTCCCCAGTAAGCATTAACTGCTGCTTATAGGTTGTCAGTATTTTTCAAATCAGATATTCTGTTTTCATCCTGAAGTTCATCATTTATATTATGGAAACTTTATACTAAGGATATCAACGGTTTTTGTCATCTTTTACACATTTTCACTGTTGTTGGCTTTGCTTGGATGGCTTTAATGTATTTTAGATGTGTGTGTGTGTGTGTGTGTGTGTGTGTGTGTGTGTGTGCACGCGCGCACGTGTGTTTATATGTGTATGTGTGCAGAGGTGAAATCAATGCTTATTATCTTTGTGACTCTCCACCTTACTTTTTGAGAGTGGGTCTACCACTGAACCTAGAACTCAGCAGTGTTTAGACTGGCCAGTGAACCTCTGGGATCATCCTCTCTCACTTGCCAGTCACATACTGCCATACCCAGATTCTTAGCTGGATGCTGGGGTCCAAACTCAAGTTGTCATACTTGCACAGCAAGCACTTCATCTACTGAGTTGCCTCCCTAGTCTCAGTTGGAGTTAGTTTTGTGTATGCAAACCTGTCTTTAGTTTTTTTTCCTTAGAAGGCCATTTTTACTAAAGAGATTACTTTATTTAATGACATATATGTACACAAATATAATTTTAGATCTCTAAATGTCATGTCAAATATTTCAGTGGGGAAATGGGCAAATAATATAAACAGAAAGGTTACCAACAAACAGTCTAACATCTCATAATTTTTTAGTCTTTTTAGAAATCTAGTTAAAAAGGGTACAATTTTCATAAGTTTTTGCATGGTTTATTTTATCTGTATAGGATGGACACCGAGGGCCAGTGAAAACATCCTTACATTTGTTATGCTTAACTGGAGAGTGCTTGCTGGTTATAAACTTAACGTCCAGCACAGAGTACTCCAGTTAGACATTGTCATTAATTCTGGGATCCATCTGTATCCTGTCTGTCTGTCTCCCCTTTTTGCTCTTGAAAAAAGAGACAGAAACATACAAATAAAAACAGATTTATTTTTGTCTAGTTCAAACTAAGAAAGTGAAAACCAAATCTGGCCAAATCTGGTCTTTACAACACACACAAATACACACACACACACACAGAGGGAGAGAGAGAGGAGAAAAACTGTGTGTGTGGGTGTGTGTGAGTGAATTTTAGTTTGTTGCTTGTTTGCCAGTGCCTGCACCATCCCCAGCTATGATTAGCTGCCTGTAAGTCCTAAGGTGTAAAAGGTGCCACATGAGCCCCTTCCCACTTCCTTGTGGGAATGTTGAGGGACTATTTGAGTGCAAGTCTTATGCAGCTAATCATAGCTACTGTGGGTTCTTAAGTGCAGTTACTGTGCCATTTCAGGAAGACTGCATTTCACAATACAGAAGGTGCTCCTGCCTCTCCCATGATGTTTTCTGAGCCTGGGCAGTGGGGGCAGGAAGTATTGGTAGAGGTGTCTGTCCTCTTAGACTTAAGCATTCAGCAGGCACTGAACCTGGTCATTTTGAACACTTAAGGAGTCTACAGTAACCACAGCTGATTGGAAAAAGAAGTTTCTCCAACCAAAGCTGACAGCAGCTTTGTAGGCATAAGCATACTTGTGTAGAAGGTGACAGCGTGAGCACAGCATGTCTGTTTAGCAGAACAGCAGCAGGAGCTGTTCCTACCTATGCCCTCCCCAGCTGTGGACTTTTGATCCGGTTTATGGTCCCAGGTGTGAGTTCTCTGCTGTGGATCCACCCTCAAATCCGGTCAGCAGATGGTTGGCTCCCTAAGGCGGGCCACGATTATACCGGTTGCCACTTGGAAAAGTCACATGTCAGCGTTATTGTGAAACCTGCAGTTCTAGGCAAACTAGAGGCCAGCTCATTCATGCCCTGCACAAGGGTTGGTACACAGTTAGGGAGCCATAGGAGAGAAATAGGTTCTTCTGAGTTAGACTTAAAACTGCTCGGTTTTGATTGTCTTGGTTCTGAACTGCTATATAGAGAAATGACAGCTTTTACTATCATAGTTTTTCTTTGTTTTTCAATATAGTCAGAATTAGGAGACTTAGATACCTGGCAAGAGAACACCAATGCGTGGGAAGAGGAAGAAGATGCAGCCTGGCAAGCGGAAGAAGTTCTGAGGTATTGGTTGACGTTTACCTTACACCTGGAGTAGAAACTTAGATTTGCTTCTTGTATTTAAAATGAAGAAAACCTACTGAGGACAATGTCAGTCTCCATTTTCCTACACTGAAACTGAACCTTCTAGAACTTGTTTCTCATTGAGCATGCTCTGAGTTCCAGATTTCATATCTGGTCTTTTGGTGCTATGAATTTAAAACACTGTCTGAATCAAAGGATAATGATCTTAATGGTAAGGTTGTTTGCATATACATAGCACATGGTAGTCATGATACCTGCTGTGAAATGTTGGCCACCATGATACACTGTTCTAGATTAGCAGTTGTAATTTTGATTTTATGGTTTTACAGCTTAATATAGTGTCTGAAGTGCACATTTGAATAATGGAAGCTAATAAAGCACCCTTACTCTGTACACGTATCTTACTTTTAATATCCACAGAAGTCTCCTAAAACATGGATATCATATTAACAAACCATTCATTCTACAGAAAAGTAATTAGTCTTAAAGTTCACTTTTGTTGGATATTCATTCTACATTTCTGTGAGTGATAAACTTAGTTCTTATTCTTCTGTGTTGGGTTAAAAAGTAAGGAAAGAATAGCAAAAAGCTGAACTGTGGCTATTATTTCTATTTAATGCCAGATGTAAATCTGTCTAGTCTCTATGCATTCAGAATCATATAGCAAGGGGCTGGAAGAGCACTTGCTTCTCTTTCAGAAGACCCAGGTTCTGTTCCCAGCATCCATATCAGCTTCCAGGGATCCAGTGTCCCCTTCTGGCCTCTATGGGCACGTGTACATACATAACACATACACACATGCAGGCTAACACACATACACATAAAATAAAATATAAAAAATTAGAAAAATATAGTGATAGAATTTATATCTTAAAATTATGATTGTTTTTGCCCTATGGATAGAACGTGAATTACCTTTTACTTGTACTCATCTTTACATAATTATCTTTTTTTTTTTTCTTTTCTTTGATGGCAAATTTATAGTAACCTTAAATAACCAACAGAGGGCGCAGTTAAATAGCCAGAGTTTTGCTTTGTTTTTCTTCTAAATCTTGTTTTCAACATGTCTTTTTTAAATGGGCAGAGAAGTCACATTTTTAAAGTTGTGAGAGCTTTTCTAATTTAGCTTCCCTTTCATCAGTGTAACTGAGTCTTTATTAAGGGTATTTTTAAAATTGTGAACTAAAATCCTAATGTTGTTAAGACTCATCAAAAAAGACATTTTTATTCTGAATTTTAAAAAAATAAATAATAGATACAAAGATGAGAATGTTTAAAAAATTATTAGCTTCATATAGCACAAGGATAGAGGAAAGAGCTGCTGTTCTGAATCTAATAATCTTAATAACAATGTTAGGGAATTTTTAGCCATGAGTAGAGCATCTTAATGTACTTTAAAACCTTCCCTTTTCCAACCTGTTGTTACTTAACTAAAACAAAAATGAAAACAAGAATGTTTTGCATTATAATGGCAGTGTGATTGAATGAGATTATTACTTTGTGCTGCGTGTACGTAAGTATAGCCAACAGGACATGGAGGCTTATAGCATTGCTACCTCTAGCAAGACACTAAGCATTGTGAAAGTGTATCTGTGTTCCTGATTCTTTAAGCTCAGAATTTTTTCCATTGTCAGCTAAAAATACGCCAGCTCTTTGATCTGTTAAATGAATATGACTCTAGTACTGAAGCCATTCCAAGCTTGAATCTGGGTGGGCAATATGTATATTTGACTGCAGTAATTTCTAAATCATTCCTTGCACCTGGAATGTCAAGTTTTTCTTCTTATAACATATCCAGTCCTTTGTTATTATTTATCTTCTTACCTTTTAATGCTAATGCTGTGGGCATCTGGTTTAGTACATATTTTCAGGGTTTCTCACAGTTAGGCAGAGCTAGTGTTGAGTTTTCTTTAAACCTCGTTAATTGATGGTGAAAGTTGGAGTGCTGCCACAAAGAAATTTTTCTCCTTGGTGGAATTTTGGTCATCTGTAACTCTGTCTTCTTGCATTACTGAAAATCAGATGTATATGCATGCATATTTTAAGCATTAATATATCACTTTCATGAGCTTTAAGTTGAACATACACTAATTTCGATGCCCCAGCATTGATTGTTCTGCATAGACCTAGATGTTGCCCATTCCATGTTCATTGATAATCTATGCTTTCTTCATTCTTACATACTTCTTAAGTTACTTTTTCACACCCAACTTAGGTTCCCTCCCTTCTCCCTGTGTAATCATCCCAGGCCCAGTCTCCCTTCCTATACAAGCCAGTTGTTGGTAAGGATAGGGTGTTTTTGTTGTTATTTCTGATCAGTGGAGTTATACTGGGCTGAGAGCCAGACTGTCATAGTATGAAATTAATAAATATCTACTATATGACTTATGAAGTAGCTCAGACATTTATCTTTACATTTCTTGGTTCTGAGTACAAGATAAATCTGAAATTCCATTTTCTCTTTGCATTGTGTTTCTAACATCTTTAGCTAATTTAAAAAAAAAAATCTTTTAGAATAATGAGAATTCATTCCAATATCAAAGTTTTTGGGATAGTTTTCCCCTGACACACACAAAGGCTGTGGTTAATTAGGAGTGTGGGAATAAGGTGAAGAATCAAAGTACAATTTGCAATTCATTTTGTACATAGAGATAACATTTCTGTTTTTATACAGTTATCTTCTAAGCATAAGCAGAAATAGTCCTATTGAAAAATCCTTGAACTTTCAGAGAAATGAGAAAATTTAAGACATGAAACATCTATTTCTTGGCACCCTTTGTATAACTCATTGGCAGTTTTCCCTGTGCAGTGTTTTATAAAATAAAGAAAAAAATGTATTTCTCTTCAGGCAGCAGAAGATTGCAGACAGAGAAAAGAGAGCAGCAGAACAACAAAGGAAGAAAATGGAGAAGGAAGCCCAGCGCCTGATGAAGAAGGAACAAAACAAAATTGGTGTGAAACTCTCCTAACACATGTTTGCCCATCACATCCCAGTGCCAGTAGGAGAAGTCTGGGCCTGCAGCCTTCACGACAAGCATTTGTATGGACTGGAGATAGTTTTCAGAATACAAATGCCTGCTTGATCTTCATGTGTTGATTGAGCCATCCAGGATACCAGAATTCTCCCACAATACCTTGTACTGATAGTAATCAAGACTCAAAACACAAATCAATGAGACAACTATTTTCTTCAATATGTTCCAAATATCAGACAATTGTTTGCTCTAGCAAAGTATTTTAAGTGGAATATACCAGACCAGTACCTCTCAAGCTAGGGTCCCTAGCTGAATAAATTGGGTGTAAATAATTTTATGGTAGAAGAATTCTCGGCTATCTATTATGCTTTCATTATTGTGCATAATTATAAAGTAATTTTAATAGCCTTTGTTTCCATGATCACTTGACATAAATTAAACAAAGTGTAAGGAGGGCTTTACACCCTCAATTTTTTTTCAGGCAGTGTTGACATACATTTTCTGTAATTCGAACTGGCATTGTGTGGTACAACATTAAGGAATATGACGATTTGGATTTTCAAGAAAATAACATTAAATGCAATAATTTTATTTATCAAATACTTTGTATATCCTTGTTTTCTTTTGGATGGTATTGTAATGTTATATAGATTTGTAATTTATATTGCATGTGTAAATGTTAAAAATCAGCTGCAATGATAAGTTTGTGTGACTTAAGAACTAGGAGTAGAGTAGCTTTCCCCTTTGATTACAGATGTCAGGGTGTGTTAGTCTTTAAGGACCACAGTCCTTCATCCTCCTTAAAAGCCATTGCTTTTCAAATGCAGAAAGCCTTGAGTTTTAATTGATGTTTTTTAAGTGACTGGAAGATTTCTCTTTTTTTTTTTTTTTTTTTTTTTTATATTTTACATAACACAGGGCAACTATACTTTCAACTAGATAACATTACTGATTCATTATAAACCAAATTATAAATCTTTTTTGTTTGTAATATTTGACTTGTCTAAAGAAATAATTGCATACTGTTGTTTTATGGGGGAAAATCATATCTCAGAGTTTAAAATACCATTAAATTTTCTCCACAATTGCAATATAACTGGGCTGATTTTCTGTGGCTTTGGAATTTTTAGAAATGTTTTACTTTCTTCAAAGTTACTACCCTGATTAACATTTTGTGGAGCTTTAAAACGTCATACAGTGTATAGGCCAAACATTATCAGTATATCTGAATTAAGGCAATATTTCATAGTAAGATCAATAACTGTACATTGAGACTTTTAAAATTTCTTAGCCCAAGATCTCACACTAAGTATTACAATCAGTTGAGTTTAACTCTGGAAGGAAGAGGTTTGAGCACCACATTGCCAGTTTCCGTGTTTATTATTTCTCCAGTGCACTCTCAAAGGGGCAGCATTAAACTTAGAATTTTAAGACTCTCTTCTCTCCATTTATTTATTTTAGTCATTATGAGGATATTGTATGATGTCTATGAATGTAAGATCCATAAAGGATAATTAATCTTACTGCCTTCCCTTTATAGTAATAAAGTACAGAGGTCTGCTTTAGTCACACCTTTTGAATATGCATGCTATTTTTATGTTTGTCTCTTTAGCTGTTGAGAAATAAAAACCAGTTAGAAATTATAGCTTATATGATCAACTTGGGAGAAATAGATTTTTCTTTAATAATTCTGAAATATTTTTATCTAAATTTGTGTTGAGTTGGGTATATGTGATCCCCACAAAATTCATTTAGTCAAATGCATATGATAAGTACTTCATAGTGTTCTGCTTCCAAATTTTATGTTTTTTTCTTTTAGTTCTTTTGATTTTGATAAGGTATAATGTTTTTGTTTTGTCATTTGAGACAGGGTTTCTTGCTGTAGTGTAACTCACTCTGTATACCAGGCTGGCTTTAGACAGAGATCTGCCTCCCAAGTGCTGGGATTAAAGCCATGCACCACCAGTGCCTGGCATGGTATAGTGGGTTTTAGATGCTTATTGGAATAAAATAACTATGCCAGGTTTTTATTTAGTTTGTGAAGATCTACTCATATTCTGGATTCTGTGTCTGAGATTAAAAAACCAATGATAGTATAAAGCTTATGTCATGTGTTTAATAGAAATGTTTAATTCCCAAACTTTTCTTTCTAAGCTTTAGCTAGAATCCTCTTTCTTGGCTCTTTGTAATATTTGACTGGCTATTTTGAACTGATGATTTGAAAACATTTTCATCTGGATTCCTCAGTTTTGGTATGTACTTCTGGCCACAACAGTGACTATTTCTGGATGAAGATTGGAGGTTGTAGAGAAGATGGCAGTGATAGGACCTGCATCTGAACCAAGCCATTACTAAGTATAAACCTAACCATAACCAGTGTCCAAGTACCCTAAGATGACGATGATATTCGTGTACTAAAAGGATGGGCTGAGCCAGATGTAGCTGATACATTTCCTTTAATTAAACCTGTCTAGTTCATGTTTGCTATCATCTACCAATTGCTATCACTTCTCACTCTATTTCTTTGTTCAAAGGAAATCCTAATATAACCATTGTTTTTGCTCTACAGTTTGGTTCTCTTGGGAAAGGAGGGAAGTTAGGGCTGGAGAAGGTGGTAGATTTGTGAAGAGTACATTTGACTCACCAGTAACTTAAACTTGATGCTACCTTTGACCTAGCGCTTTATTTTTGAGTTGCTATATGGTCAAAGAAGACTGTGTGTGTGTGTGTGTGTGTGTGAGAGAGAGAGAGAGAGAGAGAGAGAGAGAGAGAGAGAGAGAGAGAGAGAGAGAGAAAGAGAGAGAGAGAGATCTTTTATTTTAGAATATTCAATTTTGTTCCAAGGTCATAGAAACACCTACAACTAAGGATTTCCTTTTCTTCTCCCCTGCCCCAGCCCCTAGACTGGTCTCGAACTTAGTCTGTGGCCAGGGTAACTGGAATTCTAACTTGTCATCCTCCTTCCATGGCCTGTCATGCACAACTTTTTGTTTTCTTTCTTCCTACCTTTTAATCTTCAGTGTCCCTTAGCTATAGCTGGCTGATGGGCATGTTCAGTAACCAGAGAGGTTTTTGAGATGTGTTAAAGTGTGTTTTACCAGAGGGTCCTGTTCTGTCTTGTAGAACTATAGAGGGTCTGTTTTGAGGAACTTCTTAAATCCAACCAAGCCTCATGAGGAAAATTTGTTTCTGTCCTTGCATACAGGCTGCTGATTGGCAATTTGTAAGCTGTGGCTTTTGCAGTGATGCTGACAATCTGGTCAGCTCCAGTTAATCTCTTTCAGATTCCTATGGCTGTTCTACAGGATCTGGACACAGCAGTTTTTGAAGACTTCATAGAGGGGAAGAGATGGTACAAAATTAAGCAGTTTATCCACGTCCGTAAGTTTTATTTTTCTTTTAAATAGAGATGGTGGTTTTAATGCTTATATGAGACTATTAAGAGTTGATTATAAATTGGAGTTTTTAGTTAGACATGATGGAGCAGGCCCATAATTTTCAATACTTAAGCTGAGAGCATTGCCTCAAATGAATGGCCAGCCTGGACTACATACCTAGGCCTGTTGTAAAACTTGAAAAGATAAACGGGAGATGTCAGGGCCTGTCTACTTTTGTTTGTGAGGCACTACAGATACTTTTCCCAATTGTCTCTACAGTGCTATTGTTAACCCATGCAGAATTAAGAGAGGCTGGCTAGTTAGACATAACAATAGTCTTTGCATTGAAGTCCAGATTTAGTGTGTTAGCAGTTAGAGTGTGATGTCCCCTGCTTGCTGTTATTTTAAGGCTTGGTTGCTAGCCTGTGGTCATAGGGGTGGACCTTTGAAAGGGATGCTGGGAACATAGTCCACTCCTTTCTGTGCCACTTCTCACTTTCCACAGGTAAGGATATTTCCTCCACTGTAGCCTTCCATGATGGTGTCCCTTACCACAATTCCAAAACGAATGCGGCCAGGACACCGTGGATTAAAACCTCTGAAACCGTAAGCCAAAGTCCTCCGTTTAAATTGTTTGTCTCAGTATTTTGTCATAGCAATGGAGACCTAAATATCACATGCTTAGTACTATGTCTAAAACACTGTATCCAAGCCACCTGGCAATCCTGCAAGTTTAATCATCATTTCACATACAGAGAAAGTAAAGCTGAGGAAGTTTGATCAACGCGGTATAAAATGTAAAAGTTCAGAGCAGGTTATACAAGGGATTAACCAGAATTCCTAGCGGATTATGACTTCTATGAAATTCAAACTGGAAACACTATGAACTGATGAAATATTATGTTTAAGGTTCTCTTCCCCAATTCTACCTCAGTGAAGATGGAATTAATAATACTGTTTGTGTTTTCTAAAACCTTATTTAAAATGGGCATGGTACTACATTCCTTTAGTCCCAGCACTCGGGACTAAGGCAGGTGGATTTCTGAGTTCAAAGATAGCTTTGTCTACATAGTAAGTTCCAGGCCAGCAAGATCTACATAGTGAAATCTTATATTAGTTTTGTTTTCTGTAACTGAATGGCAATGCTACGTCATTAGGTGTTCACAGTTTATTTGGGTCAAATATGGACAAGACAGAATAATATCTGACCTAATTGCAAAATTATGTCAGATAATTCCTTTGATTGGGTCGTAATCCTAATAAGGCCAAGTCCGCAGGTGTCATGTATGTGCAGACCAGTATTATATCTTCTTAGAGACTTTTGTGGTACAGGCCACCCATAACCATCTTCAGGATTTGGTCGAGAGGCAGAAAGATAGAAAACATTCAACTTCTCACCTAGAACATTCAAAAGACACAGGCTTTTGTTATGTTTTCTTACTCTTTTGTCAGTTTTATTTTCTTATAAATTACAAATTATCACCTTGCAGTTTAGTTTTTTAAAATATTCAAACCATGGTTTGAGTTCTTAACTCATACACTGTTGCTGTTTCTAAATTTTGTTGATTTTTGTTGAATAAAACTGCTTATTTTGTAGCAGAAAAGTAACACACCATTTCTAGATAAAATGAGACTTCTGTTTCCTTCCTTCCCTTCTTTCTTCCTTTCTTTCTTTCTTTTTTTTTTTTTTTTTTTTTTTTTTTTTTTTTTTTTTTTGAGATAAGGGCTCAGTGGTCTCCTGGTACTCATTTTATAGACTGCTTTCTGGGGGGAGATAGGAAAATTGTTACAACTGTGTTAATTTTCTCAGTATAGCAGGCAACCCTGAAGTGATGTGATGGTGTAGAAAAGGTTAAACATCAGCCTAAGAGTGCAAGGACTTTTAGTTTCTGGAGAGAAAGTGGCAAATGATTTGAAACACTGAGCTGTTTTGATTCAGAAGGAGACTGGACACTCTAAAGAGCCGTGAGGGTTACTCTGAAACTGACAGGTTGATGGGGATGTTGGTACCTACATCACTGTATGTCATTGTGGCCCAGATGCTTACATGGCCTCCCTTTCTTGAGCAGGGGCTAATGAGTCTTCTCCAGAGTTAAACATAACTGGGAAACACTTTGCAAGAATAGAGTACTATTCCAATGAACTAACAGCTTCCAGATGAAGGCTAGCACAAGCTGACAGTTTTCAAAGAACATGGTATACAGTGAAGTGGTTTTCCAACCA